GCAGCCGCAGCGCGTGGTTGTCCCAGTTGACCTGCGTGTGGACGACGTCTTTCAAGTACGAATGGAGCGCGTAGCCCATCGCGGTGGCGCTCGAGCCCGAGATATGGATGCGACCGTCTTGCATGTCGATGGTCGCCACGTCGAGGCCGTTGTCGCCCAATGGCACGACCTCAAACGCGAGCTAGCGACGCACGTTAGCAGCGAGCGTCGAGGAGATGGCTATGTACCTGCGAGACGTATGGGAGGCCGAGGCGGCGCGCCACGAGGCTCTGCAGGGCGCTCACAGCGTCGTGCGTCGGGAAGGCAAGGTCGACCTGCACCGCCACGGCCGCGACCACGGTCGTCGCCAGCCACCACAAGGAACTTGGCATCTTTTGTGGGGACGCCTGCTACGGAGCCCAAACACAGTGTGAAAGCCGTCTCTTGGAAAGCAGGCAGTTGGTTCGAGTTACTCCGCAGAGCAAAAAGATGAAGTGAGCTGCAGCGCAGGCATTCGAAGAGGCGCCGAGAGGAGAAACGCCTAACCGTCCCTACTGGACTATTGTCCTCAGTATGTGATATCAAGATGAAGATAGATGTATCTTCCAGCTAGTCGCCCTTTCCGTAACGGCTTCTCCAGCCATCGACGACCGAAAACGTCTGGATTGCGTCACTCGGGTTCAACGACTCCCAGCGCTGCTCACAAGTGCCGAAGTTGGCATTCGCGAGCACGACATCTTGTACCGACTCGTGTGGGAAAGCTCGACGTTTGCACTTGTGTACGAGCATCTCCAACGCGCCACCGCTATAGCTATAGCCAATCGCGTTATAACCACCCTTTCTTTTATTTTAACCGTGCTAAACGATGTGCTCCAATGGGAGTTGCAGCTATAGCTATCGCTATGGCTGTGGATTGGCTGACAGCGCGCACCAGGCCGCTAAGGGCGGGAGTGAAGAACGCAGCGCGCGAAAGAGAACGCTCGGCGCATGAACGAGAGAAGCGCAGACCGCTTGGAGGGGTGTCGATGGAAGAGTGCGAGCTGGAAGCGCAAGCAGGAGAAGCGCTGGGAGGGATGAGGAGTGCTGGCGCCGACGATGGACGACGACCTCCACCAACGTATACATACATGCATGTGCAGCACTAGGCCTGGAGTGTCGGCAAGCAGCGTCCAAGCTACGCGCGACCACGGCGAATCGAGGCCTGGGTGTTACATACCGACGACCGACAAAGGGTTCACATGGGCGAGTGCCCGTGCAAGTCGCCTGTTCTCGTCCTCGGACCTCCTCTGCCCAGCGCGCGCGCCCACGACCCATGCTTCGTCCTCGCGCTCAACTGCACTTGCATCACAGCCTCGTACAAGAGCCCGAGCAACCTGCTCTTCGTCGACTCCTCCGGCTCCTCGCCCAACACGAGTGGCCGCGACGTCACCTCGTCCCGCGGTTCGCGCTCCTGCCTCCGCCTGCCTAAATCAAGTCCCTCAACCGAGTACACACAACGAAGAAAGTCCGACATTCTTATTTAGCATAGTTTATATTTATAGTAATAGACGACCCACTTCAACAACAACGGAGCGTTTCGATTGGCTGTTACGTTTTCTGCCTCGTCTACGCTCTACAGCGGCAGCATAACTTCACCGCTGAAGAGGCTCCAACTCATTTTTTCGCGATAGCGTTGGACAACTTTTTCACCGCTATAACACCATGCGACATGCAATAGCTTAGCTATAGCGGCGCCGCGTTGGGGATGCTACTCGCCGCAACACGCGTACACTCGTAGACCATGACAGAACGCGTAAACAACTCTAGTGTACGAAGACCGCCCAGCCAAGTACTCCGGTGTACTTCATCCAAGACCGTCCCGACATAATCTACGTGCCGACACTGGACGCGATCCCCACGGCCAACGCTTTTACCATCCTCAGCGACGACGAGGAGGTAGAGGAGACCGAGGAAGACGATGAAATGGCAGACGAACGCGCCGCCATCCCCCGCCAGATCAAGATTACACACGGCGCCACCAAGAAGCGCCCCAACCGCAAGCACGGCAGCGCCAAGCATATGGAGAAGCTCGGCCAGCGCCCCACAAAGCAGGTCGTGCAAGAAATCGCCACGCGCGTCCAAGTAGCACCGACCCCGATGACGATCATCGAGCAAATGATGGCCGAGCCACACGCTACGCTCGCGATGCTCGACCAGAGCCCCGAAGCCGCGCGCATGGCTACTCACGCCCACATTCTCTGGCGCGAGATCTCCAAGCAAAATCCAAGCCCATTGTGCCTCGAAGC